AAAAATAAAAATTTCTGTTTCATCTCAAATATTTTAAGATAAATTCAGCTTCATAATAGTTGCGTGAAAGAATAACATAGAGTGGCCTTTCTCTCACACGGGCTGCTTGTCTCATTTCACAGCATGAAACTGGGTTAGTGCAGCAGCATCAAAAGGAGATGTGTAAATAATAGCATAGGAGATCTGAGCTCCCATTCTGTTGCTTAAGAAGGCCTCTTGGACAATTTGTGGCTAGAGGGGTATTAGAAAGAAGCAAATGAAACTGACAGCTCCCTTTTAAATTTCTATAAATTGGATAATAAATTATAGAGATTGTCTGTGAACTCACAGACCTAAAGCATACATTATATCTAATCAATTGTTTGGAGATAAGTGCGGAGGAGGAAGGAAGTAAATTCTATTGTTATCTTCCATCTTTCTGATCAATCTGGCTAACTAATTATTATTGATCTCTGAGCTCTGGTGGCTCAGCAGACTAATTAACATCCACTTATATCTGCTGCCTGCAATTACTGCAAGTTCAAATCTCACCAGGCTCAAGGTTGACTCAGCCTTCCATCCTTTCTAAGGTAGGTAAATTGAGGACCCAGATTATGGGGGCAATAAACTGACTTTGTATAAATATACAAAAGTATGAAGGCTATTGCTTAACACATTGTAAGCCGCCCTGAGTCTCCGGAGAAGGGCGATATATAAATCAAATTTTAAAAAAATGATCTGTCTGATAAATAGATAGAAAGACATAGCTGAATCAGGGTCACAGAAACTATGGGAAAGACCTAAACTGGCATTAGCAAATCTGTGGATTTTGTAGGTCTATTATAGCAGTGAGCTTCTTGTTAAAGAGACACTAATTTACCCATAAAAGTTTTGTTGGTCAGTGGCCAGATGGCATAAGAAATGTCCTGTTGTTAGAGAATTAAGAAGTAACTGTGATCTGTGTAAACAACAAAGACGAACATTTTCCTATTGGATTTATTTATATCAGCAATATCAGCTTGTCAGATGCTACATCTTTTCTATCCTGCTCTACGGAGTGGAGAGTTGGTCCCTGACAGAAAGCCACTTGAAGAGACTAGAAGCATTTGAAATGTGGGTTTACAGGCAGTTGTTACGTATATGTTGGGTTGACAAAATCAGAAACGAGGAGGTGATAAGCCACCTGGGAAAGACAAGGGAAATAATCAAAACCATAAAAAGGCGAAAGTTAGAATATTTTGGACACGTGATGCGACATCCAGAAAAATTCGGCATCCTTCACTTAATCCTCCAAGGAAAGATTGAAGGCAAACGAGGTCCAGGCAGAAGAAGAACATCATGGCTTCAAAATCTAAGAGACTGGTTTGGACAAAACTCCAGTACTTTTTTGTGCGGCTGTTGATAAAAATAGGATCGCCAACATGATCACCACCGTCCGATGAGGGACATGGCACAAGAAGATCAGCTTCCTGTATTTGGAGGGTTTGTATTTGGAGAGTTTGTATTGTGTTCCTTTTCTCTTGCCTGTATACTACAATATATGGGGGAAAAGCAATAAAGTGAAATGAAAAATCCAGGGAAGTATAGAACATTTGGCTCAATTGATTGATGTCATTTTTTAAAAGGAACAATATGTTTTCCCTATATTTTGGCAAGGTTTTGCATAACATATTGTACCTCATTTAAATTCCAGTCAGTAACTGATGTGGTGGGATTCAAATTTTTTTTACTACCGGTTCTGTGGGCGTGGCTTGGTGGGCATGGCAGGGGAAGGATACTGTAAAATCTCCATTCCCTCCCCACTCCGGGGGAAGGTTACTGCAAAATCCCCATTTCCTCCCGATCAGCTGGGACTCAGGAGGCAGAGAATAGATGGGAGCGGGGCTAGTCAAAGGTGGTATTTACCGGTTCTCTGAACTATTCAAAATTTCCACTACCGATTCTCCAGAACTGGTCAGAACCTGCTGTGTGAACTTTGTCTTATTGAATTACAGAAATAAAAAGCTGGCTAGACAAGGTAAAAGATGAGGATATTTTTTTGTTTCTAGGTGCTGGTCTTAATGAAGAATGATGGGAAAAGACATACAAATAACATACCAAATGTATTTATGAGAAAAAGAAAATGGCACTTTTAACCATATAACAATAATGGATGATCGGGCTCTTATATCCTTCTATCTGTCTTAAATAACTTTAATAGTATTAATGCAATGGTTGCTATCTGCCCTGGATAGTGGCTTTCTCTTGATTCTGCACATATCAGCATGTCCCATAATAAGCGCTTAACTTGCTGATCCCATCACTTAAGACTTATAGATTCATAGTATTTTTATTATAGCCCTTTCTAAGCAGTTTAGAGTCAGCATATTGCCCCCAACAATCTGGGTCCTCATTTTACCGACTTCAGAAGGATGGAAGGCTGAGTCAACCTTGAGTCAATGAGACTCGAACTCCTGGCAGTGGGCAGTTAGCTTACAATAGTGCAATATTGTGCCACCACGGTTCCCTAATGATATATTATATAGAGCCACCATAAGGGCCACAACTACTCTAAAGAGTCAACAAAATGTCCATTAGCCCAGTCCTCTGAAACATGCATTCCATGCGCCCCTTGAGCAACCCGTCTTAATCTGCCAATTTCAATGGAACCAATTCCAGAATAACTGAATTGCATTTGAGAATGAATTGCATTATGGACAGGAAATGTATATGGACAGCACCATTAATTTATATAGCATCAAATTCATTTTGATAGCTAAATTACATCATGTATCCTCGTCTTCTTTGCAGCCTAAAAAATTGCTGCTTCATGGAAGTTCCTGTTCTACTCAAGAACTAATCCCCAACAGTTGTAATAATGTTAACTTCCATTTCCTTAATTCTCTGCTAACACAGTCAGTGGTTGTGTCGGACAGGAACTAAGGAAGCTGAAGCTGGCAAGAGGTGAAGGTGGAGAAAGTTGATCAGTGTAGCCCTTTGGCAGCATATCCTAAGCAAAAATAACTACTCTCTCCCAAAGAATGAAGACTTGGAACTAGAACAAGAAAAACAATTACGTGAAAGAACCTTAAGGTGCTTTTCCAAAAGGCAACTGGATTTTCTTGGGGTTTTTTTCCTTGAAAATATTTTGCTTTTCATCTCCAAGAATCTCCTTCACTTCATCCAAGCTTCTCAACCAGGCTTCTTGGATGAGAAGCAAAACATTTTGAAGGAAAAAATGAAGTGGCAAGAATTTCAACAATAAGTTAGGCATTCCTTATAATGCTCAACTTGTCATGGCCTCTCCCTTTCTGTTGGTGGACTTTGATATAACTTGCTTTGTAGGTTAACTTTATGGAATGAGAATGAAAAACTTCAAACTCAACAGATTTTGCTGAACCACAATTCCTAACAGCCATAGTTGGCATGGCCAATCATGACTTTTTAATTTTACAACATCCTTATAAATATCAAGTGCCAAACTCTCTGCAGAGAATAGCCAGAATATATCGTATCAGTCATCACATTATCACTCTTTAAGGAAATTGTGAACCAAGTAATACTATTATGTGTTTTTACATTGTGTTTACCCATTTCTTTATCTCTTAGTTCATTTCATCAAATCATTCCCATATTTCTGGTTTACTATTGCTAACAACAAATGAAGATTACTTCTTTTAGGGCTCCTTAAAATTATTCAAGAGTGAAAATACAAGAATGCTACATGCCAGGTTCTTCTTTTTTTATGTAAGATAGCAATATCAAAAACTGGTCTGTTATCATTTCTACTGTGTTTCCAAATTACAAATCAAAACATACAGGCTACTAAAATAGTCAGACAGCAAACTTTACGTGGCTTTGCTGTTTCTGTTAAATATTGTTCTTGGCACCTGGAGTTTGAACAGAAATAATTGTAACCTTCTAAATGGTACAGGTAATCCTTGACTTACAACCAGTTGCTTAGTAACAGTTGTAGAGGGTTACTTATGACTTGCATTTGAAGTTCTGACAGTTGCCTCCTCCTCATGGCTACGAGCAAAATTGGCCCATAGCAAACCTTTAGCAAAGTTTGCTAAATGACCACTGCAAAAAAGATTGTAAAATCAGGCCAGTCACATGGGTGATCCGATTTATGACTGTCAAGACAACTATAGTGGGCAGACTTCATTATGGTCATAACTTGAGGACTACTTGTACTGAGCTACAGCTTTTAGCAGTCCTACCAGAATAGGAGAAGACCTGTATATTGCACGGGTAAGAAGGGCTGAGAAGATATCTGCAGACCCTTCACATCCTGGACATAAAGTGTTTCAATCCTCCCCCCAGGATGCTGCTATAGGACATTGCATGCCAAAATAACTAAACACAGGGACAAGTTTTTCCCCCCATCCTATCTCTCTGCTGAACATCTAATTCTTACAGCGCTGTCTAATGTCTATCCCAAAGGTGCTTTTTCAAAAAGCAAATGGAATTTTTTCTTGAAAAAGCATCTTTGGGACAACCATGACCTGGATGAGAATCTCCACAGATGTCTAATCTCTATGTATATTTACCCATGTAGTATGGTTATGTTATTATTATTTATCCATATTATTTTCTTCACTCCCCCTTTATTGGTATTATTACTATGATTACTATTCTGTTGCTCAGCATGTATACTGAATCCTTTTGTACTGGAGACTAATTCCTTGTGTGTCAAATCATACTTGGCCGAATAAAGTTAAATTCAAGTCAATAGTTCCTAATAGGAAATGATGGGAGTTGTCGTTGAGTTTTATCTGCCCATTTGCACTCTTTGTAGTTCTGACATAGAGATTTGGATTGGAAATGGGCATTCGAGGAATATTTAACAAGTAATTTAGGTAATTTATAATTTGAAATTAAATCCCGCATATGCCCAAATCCAACTTTTCAGGATTACCATAATACAATCCTCTACCAAAATGCTAATACTGAACTCAAAAGGATTTATTTAAGAAAACGGAATTGTCAAAAACCATAATAAACTGGACCACTCTGAACAGAGGATAATGACTACTACATGCCACAAACAGATCATTTTATTCCAGGAGGGCTCTTGTACAATATTGCAATTTGGCCACATTACAAAGCTATAATTTATTTATGTACCTGTAGCAATTTTCAAATTAAAAAAAAAACTTTTAAAATTTAGAATTTTACTACAAGAGGTATGTACATAACAAAAAGAGCTTGCTAGCCAGAGTGACAGGTTGTAGACCCATTCTTTACACCACCTCATAAAGTACCAGAACATCTAGCAAGACCAGGTAAGGAAGGACGAGCTCCAGTTTTCCGCCCAAATCAGAGGGCTTCAAGGCATTTATCTCAGGTGGTTCAAGCGAGCATAACTGGATGCAACGTTACCATTTTGACCATTTGGTTCATCTTCACATTATATGTACATTTCAACAAAATAAACTTTTAAACGCCCTATTTTATTTATTAAATTTATATGCTGCCCATCTTCCTGATAGGGCGACTCTAGGCGGCCTACAGAACGTAAGTATGCAGCTTACTTATTGCCAAATGTGGTACTTGAGTAGCTCACATACACTAAAGGAACACTAGGCTCTAGTGAATGGGTAGTTCAGTAGAAAAACGTTGTAGGAAAAATTTCAAGACTTTGTTCCTAAAGCATAGCTATGCATGTTTTAAAATCAATTTTGAGATATAAATGATGGTTGTCTATCCTTCTCATTAGGCTCAGAGGGATATGTATTTACAAAGGAGTTTATAAGAACCGGGCTGCAGCTGATATTTAATCACTATCATCAGATCCACGATATGAGCCTCGTTCGGAAGCCTCGTTGTTGGAAGCCTCTGGCTCAGACTCATTAACTGAACCCTCATTGTCAGAGACTCTCTCTGAATCTCTGTCAGAATCAGCACTGCGGGAAGCTGGGCGAGATTCGTTCTCAGAACCACCAGACCGACTTCTTCCTGACTGCACAGACTCATTATCCGACTGCTCCGAATCAGACTGTCTTCTCTTTCTCACTGAACCATCACTGTCTGAGTGTCTTCTCTTTGTCACTGAACCATCACTGTCTGAGTGTCTTCTCTTTGTCACTGAACCATCACTGTCTGAGTGTCTTCTCTTTCTCACTGAACCATCACTGTCTGAGTCTTCATCCGAAGGGCGGGCACTGGATCGTCTGGGACTGCCTCCCTCGCTGCCAGATTTGTTACTGTTGTCCAAATCACTGTCAGACACAACATTTTTGTTACGCTGCTGCTCGGCATCATCTGAGTCACTGTTGCTGTTCCTGGCATTGCTGTTCAAGCAAAGAAGAGAAAAATAAAATGCAAACATCTGAAGCAGAACATTAGGCTGTGTATGAAATACTACAAGTTCCCGGGAGTTCTGTTAATTTTGTCCAGCATAATAGATCTTATGCCAAGAAAGTTAAATGAACTATCACTTGTGATAATTTGTTCTTGTTTATGTATGGTGTGCTGAGACTGTCCTTAAGCTGTTAACTTTTATAGTTTTTGAGATGTCAGTTTATACCTTTTCATATAATTTTGTAGCCAGGAAAGAAAGTACCGATTAACCACATTTATGCATTTTCAGAAAGTTTAATTATGCATAATTGCACTTTAGATGTTACTGAAATATTTTGAATAAAACCATCTCAAATATGAAAGATCATTTCTGATCTTGAGACAGAGTTTAACCTCAAAACACTTCCCAAATGTTCTAAATGACTATCTTTGGAATGCAAATCAGCTGCTTCCTATTTGAAGTAAGGTATTTCTTACTTCAAATGACTTGAATCAAAATGTTTTGCACATCATTGGTGCTTTGGTGCGGTCTCCACATAGATACAGAATTATCCCCATGGAATCAGGATTAATTACATTGAGTGTGAAGGCCAAACAGAAGCTGTATCTCCTTAAATTTCCTTCCTTAGCCTAATACGTCTGTAGGTCTAAATTGGGGGTTCCCAATTTAGTTCCCAATTTAGTGTTAAATGTTACCAACCTATTACATGTAATCCTCTCTCAATGACCAATCGAGATTCTCAACTCCATTAAGTAACATGAACGTTAAGTGAAACATCATGTGACTATGCCCAACTTATATCTGTTCTGCTGTAGTCATTAAGCAAATTTCCTGCAGTCTTTAAGTGCAACATCACATTATCATGACTTGCACCTTCCTGCCAGCTTCTCCACTGACTTGGCTTGTTGGAAGCCAGCTGTGAAGTTTGCAGTTTGGTCTAGTGGTAAAAGCACCATGCTACAAAGTAGGAGATCATGAGTTCAATTCCCACCTTAACCATAAAAGCCAGTTGGGTCACTTTGGGCCAATCACATTCACACAGTTCAACCACCTCATAGGGTGTTGTTGTGAGGAAAATAGGAGGAAGGTGTATTGGATACATTTGCTATCTTGAGTTATTTGTTTAAAAAAAAAAGTGGGATATGAATAAATAAAATGGCAATCACATGACTGTGGGATACTACTACAATGAATGCCTATGGAGGATGCTGAGGACTGATTGTAAACCTAATTTTCAGCATAAGTTTGAACAGTCACTAGGGCAGATGTTAATCAACCTGTACCCATGAAGACATAGAAAATACTAATAGATTTTGTTTTAAAATATAAAACACTATATCAATAGGAAACATAATGAAGAGTCACTTGGTTTACCTGGATTTTTAAAAGGTTTCTTAATCTTTCATAATTTAGTTCTATTATCCTTCAATTAAAGGTTACTTAGGATAGACTAGGATGTATTCACTCTGCATTTTTCACAATTTTGAAATGGAGAAGAAAATACATGTTACCTGTGACTCCATTTTTATCAGAATAAATCAATCACTATTACTTCCAATGGAAAATATACATACCCATCATCAGCGATTTTGAGTTTATCTTCATCAGATGAGTCATCGCTTGATGAAATGATGGCTTTAGATTTGATTTTTCCCTTCATTGAAAGAGGCAAGCGTTCTGGCTTGGACTACAGATAGGGAAAAAAAGTGATAGAACTTGTAAAGAAAATTGACTTTCAGCTCTTTAATAAAATAAACTATAAAATATTCCTATTACAGAAGCTTGTGGTGGAAAAGTAAAACGATTTAGCTAAAAGGTGGCTATGCATTTTTCTTTCTATCCACGTCTTATTAAATTACACCCAATCCCATAGGTCTAGGATATAAAAGTAATTTCCAATTGCTAAAGACTGAACTAAAAAACTATGGGAAAAAAACATTCAAACTTTCTAGAAACTGCTAAACTCTGTCATAACAAAGGAGGTTATTATATGCTGTGAGCCTGGAGGTGCCAGGAGATACATGAATATCTCCTATACCTACCTGGCTACCACCTCCATTCAATTTTTTGTATTAAAAATGTTTGAAAAATGTTTCAAATTAAAAAACAGAACAAGAACCAAAAGCTGTTATCCTGGAAGAAATAAGCTCCAATTTTCCATATCTTCAGTTCTAAATTAATTAAATTAAATTAAATTAACTAAATTAATTTAATTTTAATTAATGAAAATATGGAGGAAGGAGACCATTGAGCAAGGAATAACATTAAAGGAAGATATGGCTAAAGGATCTGACCTCCCTTATACTATTTGAAGGACCCTGAATAGGTTGAAGGTTAGAGTCCCTTAATGTAAAACCAATAATCTCAAGTGGAGGCTCTTAGCGGATAACAACATGTTTATGTGAATGTGGAGAGATACAGAGCCTGGCCCATCTGCTAGTATGTTGGCTACTACCAGAAGCATGTACCGATAATGACTTATTTTTGGCCAATGACAAAGCCAAGGTGGCTTCATTCTCTCAGTTTAAATTTGATCTAGACATGGAAGAAGAAGAAATTCTAGAGTCTTGAACCTTGGTTAAAAACTACAAATGATTGAGGATGCAAGTGCTCTGAAAGAAGTGTGTTATACCTATCAGATAAAGGTAAGCAAAGAAACAAAGAGGCTCAAGGGGGTTGCAGACCCCATTTTAATAAATCAGTGTTTTAGAACTGCATTACATCTCCCACTGGAGCCATTTCGTGAATGGGCAAGCCTCTTCTCTCATCAGCCCTTTTATAACATATCCTTATAACCCTACAAATTATGTTCATTAGCCCGGAAAAGGTGGGGATCTCTAGCTAAGGCCCACGGTAAGATGCTTCTGAGTCTTCAATTTAGTTCAAATAGAAATAAGTGAAGCAATGCTATGTGCAAGCAAGGATGGGTACCTTCTAGTGCTTTCTAGGACATTCCACCATCCAACCTTAAACTAAAGATTTTTAATTAGACTCACAGAGCATTTAATGAAATAGTTATAAATCATACCATTCTTCTCTTCTCAGTTTTGGCTGGGCGTCGCTTCTTCTGTCTTGGTCCTGTCTCGTTTTCATCGTCATCAGTATCACCATCTCCTTTTTGAGGTCTTGAGAAAAACACACACACAAATAATCATCAAAGTTCTATAAACATTGTGTCCTGATCAGATCTCTACAAAGAAAAAAAAACCCCTACTGATTCTTCACTTTTTCTTACGAAAACATTTTCCATTAATAGTTCCAGAACTTTACATTAAAATTACTTAACAATATAGACAAATGTAATGAGTATCATAGGATTGGTTATGCTTTAAAAAAAAAAAAAAAAAAGCTCACTGCAGAGCTAATTCTTGAAATGATTTCAAATAATTTTTAAAACATAAAACAGCAATTAAAAACTTGTATTTACACATCTATAATAGCAAAAAAAAAAAAAAAAGAAGACACTTGTAAACACCAGTTCATAATAATGCCAGAAACTGCAGTTCAGATGCCATGGCTAGGCTCTGAATGTTTCTATGAGTACACATCAGAACTTCTCTGGTTCTTTCCCGCTATCAAAAACTGCTCTTTTCTGAGTTTTAAGCAGAATCAGGCAGCAAGGCAGATTAGAGCAGTAATGGGAAGAAAGGAATCAAACTTCCCAATGTGCGTTATCAAATTCACTGTGTACACCCTCATTTCCCTCCAAAGGATTTCACCTTCGTCGCTTCTTCTTTTTCTTCTCTCCGTCCTCTTCTTCGCCATCTTGTTCACTGCCACTGCCCTTCCTCCTCTTTTTCTTTCTGGATACGGGAAGGTCTTCATCACTGTCATCATTGACAAACTCATCAAATTCTCCAGTTTTTCTGGAACGCTGTCACAAAAATCATAAACCACAATGTATTGTTATTTTTAGATGAAAATCCTCTGCTTAATCAAGCATTTTGGAAGTGAATTACCCTCTAGTTTAAAAGAATACAGAGTTAGAAAATTTCACACTTAATTTATGGGTTTTTTTAAAGCCTTCCTTTCAGAATCGTTGTTCTTAGGATTCACATTATGCAAACACAGATTAACACAAATCACAAACTGAAAAAAAGAATAGAATAATCCAATTGGTCTTTAATCTTCTAACGCTACTTTTGCTAACTTTAACATCCACCAGTCATTTGTAACTAAGAGCACCTCAAAATTAAAAGTGATAGAAAAACAAAATGAAAGACATGAAATGCTAGAATGCTAAAATTAAATGTAGAGAAGTATGGAATCTAGACTTTAAAAAAGACAGAGGAAAGTGTTGCTGTTTTTCTTACAAATTTTGTAAAGACTTATTTTAAGAGATTCTCAAAAAAAGATCAAGAGGCATAGAATACAACCATTTTTTTCTATCGGAAAATATAATGTAATAATCTGAACATGTAGATTATGAATATAGGAAATCAAATGATAAGATCACACAACACTGAATTATACTAATGCAAAATTAAAATGAAGTATGTTTTGAGCAATTATTATAAAAGTGCAAATTAATGCTGCAAGACTTCAGCCTACTTTCTCCTATTCTCTGAGAGATCTGATCTTAATGCTCATTTTGATTACCATTTTAATAGCAATTAAAGGAAATGAATTGATATGAATGGAAAAGAACTGGTAAACGTTCACACAGACGGAGTTAAGGAATTAGGGCTTTCTTAACCTGTTCATCAAGGAGGCAAAGAACATGATGTATCATTTTGAGAGAGCAGAAAAGACACACTGTATTATTTGGATGCAGTAGATGCTTGGAGAGGTAGTTGACCAAACTAATAAATAAATGAGAAAGATCTTAAGAAGAGTCTTGATTTGACAAAAATATGTCTGATTATTGTCAGAAAGACTCATGAGGGAGATAATCAGCATGAGACATAGGCTAAAGATTTAGGATTAGCCAAGATCCCAGAGATGTTGGATGAATCAGAAGAGATGCTGGCAGTCTGAAAATTGAGTATAAAAAGATTTGATTTTAGGGTAAGAAATCAAAAGACTTCAACCATCAATCAACTATATCAGAAATCCATCTTTTCATAGCTCTCTGTAACTCTTGGTGTTTGTTATTTTATAATTGGACGAGCCATCTGATTAGAGCCTCACCCTTTGGTAAAGATCGTCTAATATAATTACGAAAAGATAAAGTTAAGAGAGGATTCAGTCATGGACTATATTAGACAGCTTTACTTCATGGGAGACTGCTTTTTTGCTTGAAACCAAGATAAAATATAAAGGGTTTAACTTATCTCATCACATAAACCATAAAGCTGAATTCAGCCAGGATTTTCTAATGTTCAAAGGCCTAAGGGTGAAAATGAGGGGAGTGTGTTTGCAACTGAGAACAGATTTCTCACAAAATCTATTATATTTTCATTAAAATGGGTAAGAAGGACAAAAGGAGGACTCGGCTGGATCCTAGAAATAACTGTAGGATAAAATTCTAAAGCAGAGAAAAGGCCAAGAGGGGGAAATTTTGTAAAACAAAAGAAAAAGTTGAACTATGTGTACAGGCAAACAATATAATATTACAGAGAAAGAGAAAATCTAGTTCTTAAGTAAGTAGAACCAGAACTTGCTAATACCATGATGAGGAACCAAGAAAACCATAAAAGTTAATAGAGAACAATGAAAAGAGACAATGAAAAGTATGTTGAATGACAGACGGAATACTTGAAGAAGACCTTTCAAATGATGCAATGGAAATAAAAACGAGATAATCAATGACAAACAACTTTGTAGGTCATTAAACAGAGGTGTAGAAGAACTAAAGAGCCAAAATAGACAAGATTGTTACTTTCTATTTTTAAAAAAACTGCCTCTTTTTTGCACTTAAAAAGTAAGGAAAGAAATGAAAGGAAAGAAATAAAAGAAATGTTTATGTATCAAAATTAATACAAAACTGGTCTAAATGTCTCTTATGTGAATACCTTTTCGATCTGATTAAATTCAGCATTTGCTGCTATAGCTTTATATATTACTAAACTAATGACCCATTGGATTTTTCTTGTTTCCATATATAATATAGGCTGGCACTGTTTCCTCTTCCCTCACAACTCTCAGCAGAGCCCTGGTGAAGCCCCCTTCTCCTCGGCTGACCTGTGGAACTGCCTGCCACTCTGCTGGGAGCAAGGGGAACAAAGGGGACTATGGACAAGGAAAAATGCATCTCTACTCCCTTTCCTGGTGTGTCCCCAAAGACTCCCTCTCTCCCGGGAGAAAAAGAGCTTAACAATCGACCATCAGAAACCTCACTTGGCAGCAGGCATTCGAATTACTCTTGGAGCACAGTGGCTCACATGATTAGGATGCTGGGTTTGGAGGTTAGCAAGCCCATGTTTGAGACCTGAGTGCTGCTGCATGGTAGGGGTGAGCTCCCATCACTCCCTCCAGCTCCTTCATGGAGACATCACCCTAGGCAATGGTGATGTCACTGGCTAATCCTTTCAACCAGAAATGCCTTAAACTGTGCCTCCAACAAGAACAGGACAAGACGGGATCTGAATTACTCCCTTGTCCTTTCCTCACCATCCACCACTCTTAAAAGAGATTTCAGTTTTTACCTTTGGTTCCAAACCAGCCAATTTCCAGTCAGCAGTCAGGCCTTGCCATCAGCCAATTGGGTGTAGGGACCAGAGGGAGACAGGAAAGACATGGGAATAACCACACCCCACCCCACCCCAATCTTCCTTTGTACACGCAACCTACAGGCTTCAGGGAAGACTAGTTGGAAATCACAATCATGTGATCGTGGCTAACTGTGTATTTCAGCAGCCACAACTTTGTGAATACAACTGGTGTGCAGATCTTTGAAATTTCCATTACACAGGAACAATGGGTCCCAGATTTTAACAATTCTTTAAGTTTGCCCTGTTCAGGTACTTAATTGAAAAACTGTTGCCCTGTGATGAACCATTTCACTCAATTGAAAGTTATAAACAGACCAGAGTGTTTTAGTAATACATGGCCATATAACAATCATTTTTAAAAACTCTATTTTTATTTACCCGGCCAGCTCCACTACCACGCTTTTTCTCTTTTGAGCCTTCAACTTCTCCTGTGAACATGAGAATATTCTTGGTCTTCTCCACATATTGTGCTCTCTGTTCCAAAAGTTTCTTCTGTTCTTCTATTTCCCTGAGACGTTTTTCTTCCTGGAAAAGTGTCAGTAAGGAAACCAGTTATATTGTAGTTCTATGCAAACCACCATTCTAATCTTTTGGTTATTTAAAAAGAAAAAAAACAAAGTATTGAAGACTTATTTGCTACCACAATGACATAGGGTCTGCCTTTAAACAGTATGCTCTATAATAATAATATGAAGAGAATTCAGTGCTTGTAGCACTACTGTAAATAGACAAGTGGAAATAAGCAAAATGTTTCTAGGTTACAGACTGGATGAGGCATCTACATTTTCATTCCACTCCATCATTTGCAACCTAAAAGTAAACCACCTTCCAAATTTATTTTACCCATTTACATCTTCAGAGCTGATAACCCTCTATTTATTCATTGTTTATCTACACTGCATTTTGTTGTAGCATCACAGCTCCTAGCTCAGCAGAGAAAGTGATCCCAGCTCTGTTTTAGCGGTATAAGGAATAAAGGACCTGTTCTTTGAGTAACTTCTGACGCAGCAGTTCTTTTTCTTGCTCTTGTTTTGCTCGCAGCTCCCGCTCTTCTTCATCCTGCTTGCGAGCCCGAGCTACGTGATACTGAGCTTGGCTCAGCAGATCCGAACACTGCCTACAAGTCGGGGTTAAATTTGCAGACAAAAGCAGAAATAACGATGAAAAACACATTTCATGCCACTGGCCAAATCAAAACTTTTCAAGAACAACGGACTCATGAATGCTAGTAGCTAAAGAGACTAGACTGTAGTAAATACGTCTATTTTAAAGAAAAACATATCAATGCAGCTGGAAATTCACTGCTAAATTTTCTAGAGGATTTTTATTTCTAACAATCAAATCACTTATTAAAGCAGTAGCCTGGCACCTCAAATTGTTCTGCCCTAGAAAAGATCAATTATTTATCCAGCTAATTGGGTTACAATGCCTTGAGCCTCAATACATGACAAATATCTGATTTTCAGTGTTTTTTTGTATTTAGCTTCATCATATGAACCCTTTATATTTAGATTTAGAATTTCTGCAGTGCTTTTATTCCTATAAAACTAAGCATTAGTTTCAGCTTTCATGGACAAGCTGCCTGCCTACACTTGTTTGAAACCACTTTTTGTCTGACATCTATTTAATTAGGCAGTAAAAAAGATAAATCTTTTAAGAGTCCAATCCAGAAGACAAAGGCAGGTTTTCTTCATTAAAGAGAATCCTTGGAGAAATACAGTTTACAGAACATCTAGGATACACTGTAGAATTATTTCAAAAGAGGTATATGACACTATTTGGAAAATTCTGCTAGAACTAATAAAAAGAAATACAAAAACTATTGTAATAATCCACAGAAAATACTACAGGCATCAAAACTTCCCACATATGGCTAGTCAACATTATCTCCTAATTATAAGGTGACTCTCCTTCCCTTGTGGGTTTAAGCTGCAGATGTACATAAAGGTAAAGTTTCCCCTCACACATAGTCATTCTCGACTCTAGGGGGCGGTGCTCATCTCCATTTCTAAGCCGAAGAGCCAGCGCTGTCTGATGATGATTCCGTGGTCATGTGGCCGACATGACTAAATGCCGAAGGTGCACGGAATGCTGTTACCTTCCCACCAAGGTGGTCCCTATTTTTCTACTTGCATTTTTACATGCTTTCAAACTGCTAGGTTGGCAGAAGCTGGGGCAAGTAATGGGAGCTCACTCCATTACGCGGCGCTAGGGATGCAAACCGCCAACCTTTCTGATTGACAAGCTCAGCATCTTAGCCACTGAGCCACCGCATCCCCTTACAGATGTACATAGGTAACCTTAAATGTCTGTACTAAAGTAAACTGAAACCTACAATTCAAATACCTTGCTTATTTCATAAGGAACTGATTTTTGAAAGTACTGGTTAAAAATTTTTTTTTACCTGGCTTCGGTTGCAGCAAGTGCCAAATCAAATCTCATTTTATCTCCCACTTTACTCAAGTAACTGAAGTATCTGAATGAAAAAGAGACAATTAGGGATATCTTAACATTCTTCCAAAATAATCTTTTTGCCATGTGTGTTTTTGTTAAAAGTGGTACATATTTATCATAAACTGATAATGAGGTCAAAATTAAGATATTGCCTTTTAATTTCACATCCCACTCTCCATCTTTATCTCCCCATCAAACCATTCTTTCAGTTCCTAGAGAAGAAAGTACTCTCGAAGTATTTTAATTGCCAATAACCGCTCATAATAATCAACACAACAATTTCTTCAATGAGATTGAAGTGCATCTTTTAAAAGTGAACCTGAATCATCTTGCAGATGGCTCAAGACAGGTTTTGGAGAATCTGTCTCAGAACTTGATGAACTGATTGTTCTAGGAATATCTCATACAAAAGAAACTCCTGTGATAAAAGAAAGTTCTCTGGCAGAGGCGAACATTCCAAAATATAAGGCAATGTATTAGATAAAACTGAGAAAAAATAGCCTGCGTCAATACATTAAGTTAAAAAAGATTTAATTTTAAGAACAAGTGTGCCATTCAAAAGCATCCTTTTGAATGGGACGCATTCTGTTTCTGCTTAAATGGACACCCCTTCCCTTCCGGCCCCCTTTTGTATATTAAAACAGGCAGTAATGCTTGCAGGCTAGAGCATTAGATCCAATTCTGAAGCTCTCATCTTCTGACTCTCTGGATTTTTAGACTCTGCTGAAAATGTTCACATGTACAGGTAATCCTTGACTTACAACAGTTCATTTAGTGACCGTTCAAAGTTACGACGACACTGAAAAAAGTGACTTATGACCATTTTTCACAGTTACAACCTTTATTGCATCCCCATGATCACGTGATCAAAATTCAGATGCCTGGCAACCTGTTCATATTTATGACTGTTGCTGTGTCCCAAGGTCATGTGATCTCCTTTTGCGACCTTCTGACAAGCAAAGTCAGTGGGGAAGCCAGATTCACTTCACAACTGGGTTACTAAATTATCAACTGCAGTGATTCACTCAACAACTGAGGCAAGAAAGGTCATAAAAATGGGGCAAAATTCACTTAACAAATGTCTCACTAAACAACAGAAATTTTGGGCTCAATTGTGGTCATACGTCCAGGACTACCTGTACTACTGAACCTGCATTTATATCTACCAACTAGTTTTCGAGGACCACAGCAATAGTTAGTCCCTCAATTTACAACTGTTTGTTTAACAAACAGATTGAAGTTACAACAGCCTTGGAAAAAGTGACTTACAATCTATTCTTAAAATTATGCCTGTAGCAATGGCCCCTCCAGTCATATGATCACAATTTGGATGCTTGGCAACTGGTTCGCATTTACTACAGCAGCAGCATCTTATGATAATGCAATCGCAATTGGCAAACCTTCTTTTGCTTTTCAGAAGCAATGTCAATTCGGGCAGCTGGATTCGTGTAATAACCACATGATCCACTTAATAACGATGGCGTTCACCTTAATGACCATGGTAAAAAATGGTCATAAAATTGGGTCCAATCATGATGATGATTCCATTTACAACCACACTTGATTTACAACAGAAATTCCAGCTCCAGTTAGGCTCATCAGTCAAGGATTACTTGTAGAACAAAGCCATTGAAGCAGCAAGGTTAGCTGCCTTCCCTTTCCATCCCTGAAGATTTCATTTAGCCCATTAACTTTCTAGGAGGAAGGTAATGCTAAGGACTTCACACATTTATGGCCAGAAACAAAATCTAAAAGCTGTGAGGCAGAGCTTATGAAATACATTATTATTCTGTAACAAAGTAAACAGTTTTAATCTTGTCTCTAGATTAGGGGTCCCCAACCCCCGGTCCACAGACCACCACCGGTCCATGGCATACCAGCAACTGGGTCACACAAAAAAGCGAAGCTCCATCCATTGGATGCAGGCAGCATGCAAAACCACGATCCCTCCTGTCCACAGAAAAACCTCTCTCCACGGAACCTGTCTCCTGGTGCCCAAAAGGTTGGGGGGGGCACTGCTCTAGATGCATCTACAAAGCTGTACAAAATAACTATAGCTTGTTAAGCTAGGTTAGAATTTGGTTTTATCTTCATCATCACCCCCACCATACTCCAATGCAATGCATATTATAGGGAGGGGGGGTTCCTAAATAAAGATTATATATCCTTACCTGTGTGCTAGCTCCAGTTCTTTCACAGCATTTAATACTTCCTTCAGGTTACTTTTTTCATCTTTCAGGACAGAGGTAGCTAGCCTTTGCAGCACAAGAGCCACGTTGAACATAAGGACTGTATCGCTGGGTGCTACATGTCTTGCCTGAAAATTCAAATTTAATTCAAAATTAAACCAATGTGAACTGGCCAGAAAGCAGAAACTGTTGTTATAACATACCTAGGAAGCCATTCAGGCTCTCTCAGTAATGGCCTCCCACAAGTTGGAGAAGAGGAAACTTCCCTGCAGAGCCTATGGTGTATGATTATTCATCTCCTTTTTTATGTTGTACAGTAGCCATAATCTGTGATTTTGGTTTGTGATGACTCTCTATGTAGCAGGGGTTCCTAAACTTTTTGCCATCACACCTTCCTTTAGCCCAATCTTAATGTACACGCCTTCCTTAAAAATATCCAAATACAAAATGAACATAAATGAACAGTTGAAAATAATACAATTAAACTTTGAGAAAGGTAGATTTATTTTAAAAATGCAACTAAAAGGTTCTTCGTACGTCCCTGGTCTCTGCACCTCCCTAAGGGAGGCACACCTCATAGTTTGGGAACCCCTGCTCTATATTGTATCCGGGTGATATTTGGGACTAATTATTTTTTCTTCCTATTGAAGTTTTATTCTACTTAGGCCACTTTTTTCCAACATGGCTATTTTATTGTATTTTAAATGCTATTGTAATAACTGTGACTGTAGACGATTCTAGGGTATATAATCTAACCTTTAATAACAACAATTATTGATAATCGTTTTGGTAAATATTAGAAACTTCCTACCTTTAGCAATGTTTGTTTGCATTCTTGTAATTTACCACATTTGAAGAGAGCTCGGGCCAAATACAGCAATACTTCTGTGTTCTGATGTTTATAGAATTTTCTGAGACAGTTCTCATACTATGGTGGGGAAAAGAATAAACGTTTGAAGAATTAGTTTAAATTGCCAACTTTAATAGTGTTTCAGACAAACTGCACTGCAGCCAGAGTGCAATGCTGAACACAGCCTTATAAATGAGTTTGCAAAGATCTCTTAGTAATTTCCAAAAACTTACTACAACATCCTGCATTTCTACATAGGTTGCAGAAGAGAGCAAAGCTCTCTCTTTATATCCAACACAGCAGCACAACAAATCCAATGTTTTAGCAGCTTAAAAAATCCTCTCCACTAAGAAGGCTGGAAAGAAAAAAAAACTGAGTTTCCTTTTCCATGCCGTCAGCTTAGAAGCCAAACACGTGTATATAAATTTCTATGATACATAGTACAAACTCTACCACATATGGCACATCAAAAGTTTGCCAATATGTCATCTGTAATTTCATGAGTTATTTTTCATCAGTTTTCAGATCCATGGGAAAGATTTTTCCTTTTCAATCCTCTTTCAATATTGCAGTCTTAAAATACAGTCATTCTTTCTTCTGAGCATTAACTATTGATTAATAGACCACTCAGTCTGCCAATTATGTGTCTCAATTATAGTAATCCATCTCCAATTATTTATTATAATGGTAACCTAGACCAGGGGTCTCCAACCTTGGCAACTTTAAGCCTGGTGGATTTGCCAACTCCCAGAATTTCCCAGCCAGCAAAGGTTGGAGACCTCTGACCTAGACCATTTTGTATCTGCAAAATGGTGAAAAGATCCCATGCTAGGATTGCCTATAAAAGTAAACCAATGAACTGATTCAATTCTGTGAATATATCCATTACCCAGCACAATTTAAATGTAATTTTTTAAAAAAGAAAAGCAAAACGTACTAAAAACATTCATGGAATGATCCAATTTAGCCCAACATGATATATTCATGAAAACCAAGCTGTAAAAATCCTTACAGAAAAGAGCAGCTTGAAATTCTTACTTCAGTGTTTACAAGAAACATGTCCTAAATCAAGGTATTTGTTAAGGATTACCATCTGCACAGCACTGATGTACTGCTTCTGCTCCACATAAATGTGTGCAAGATTAAGCCACACGTCACTGATATCTGCAGTTGCCTCTCTCACTTGGGCAAAAACATCACGAGCCTCACGGAAATATCCTTTGTGTGCCAGCACGGCTCCTAAAAAAGGAAAATCCAATTTCCAGATCCATGCAAAGTCATTGCAAAATTGTAATGTAAAAAGAAAATTTGAGACAATAAATCTTAGTACCTATGCCATTAGCAGCATACAAATTCTTGGGGTCATTCCGGAGGACCTGTTTGTAGATGGCTAGGGCACGATCTTGATGACGTTTTTCCTGCAAAAGAGAGATGGGAACTCTCAAGAAAATGAATACAGGTAATCCTCAATTTACAACCATTCATTTAGTGATCTTTCAAAGTTACGCTTACAACTGTCACAGTATTCCAGTCATGTGATCAAAATTTGGACGCTGGGGCAATTGCCATGTATTTACAACACATGCAGCATCTCTGGGTCATGTGATCACCATTTGTGATCTTCCCAGCCAGTTTCCGACAAGCAGTCAATGGGGTAAGCTGGATTTGCTCAATGACCACACAATTCACTTAACAACTCCACCAATTTGCTTAACAACTATGGCAAAAAAGGTTGTAAAATCATGCAGAACGCACTTAACTGCCTTGTTTAGCAATGGAAATTCTGGCCCGCATTGTGGTCATAAGTTGTGGACTAGTTGTATTTACAATATTTATCAAAATGTTTTAATAAGTTTTCTGGATACTCAAGAAATGTTAAACTATATTAAAACATATTAATAAAATATATTAAACATATTTTTAAAAATGTTAAAATATATTAAATGCATCCCACAATCAATATAAAAACTAATGTAAAATCCTTGGCAAAAAGAGAGACGAACTGTCTATCCTTTCATTTCTTTTAAAATTTCCATTTTAGACCAATTTCATAAAGGTCTTACTCTCTGTTGTTGTTCAAGTGTAACATAAATTCATAGTACATAAAGAGAAAAGGCTGATCAATGAGATCAACTTGTAATTTTATATTATGTAAAACTATTTCCATTTCTGCATGGAACTTCCTCTCTCCTATTTAGGAAGACTGGGGAATGGAAAATCCATTTTCCAGCAGTTTGTGGATTTGAAAATCAAAAAACAGTGCTCATCCATTGAAGCAGCTGCAAAAAAGACAGTGTAAAGATGCAGAGTATTTACCTTCTCTCTGTCTCTGGTGGGTTGGTGCAGAGTCTGCAACCACACATTGCCCAAAGCCAACATAGAGTAAGTGTCATTCTGTGTTGATGGCTGTTTCAATATTCTCTCAAATTTCTTCTGTCCTGGACCCCATTCTTGCTTGGCCAGGTGAAGATTGCCAATCAGGGACCAAGCATCAGGATGGTCCTGAAATAATATTCCAATACACTAAAACTCAGCTTTACTATAATAAGACATAGTTCAAAAAGATCCACCTCTCCTCAGCTCTATCCCATAAAAGCTTTAAGAACTTTAGCGAACTTGGCTAAAATTCAAACTTTGGAAAAGTTTAAGGGGAGAAAATTCCACAATAGGTACTGTCCATGAGGCATTTCAACTACTCATACAAAAATACACTATGAAAATGTCAAAGCCAGCAATGAAATAATGTGTATTTATTAGGTCACATGATCTTTTGTTTTAAAAAAAGTTGATGATTTGTTAACTGGCCACAGAAAATCTTTAGAAATTCATGGCCTCAGCTGTAAAACTGCTTTCTAAAGGATGGCAAATTCTTACTGACCTGATTGATTTGAAGTGCTTCTTTAAACCAGTCAGAAGCTTCATAAAAGTTTCCTTTATCTCTAGCCATAGCTCCTAAACGCAGGTAGCCTAAAGAAAGATTTTAATGATCAAAGACTCATTTCCAGAACACAGCATCTTGTTTAATAAGCGCTTTGAATGATGCATATTTGCTCTTCAAGACTTTTGCGATATTACTACTGCACCAGATTGGGACAAAAGCAGACCAGATTAATTATAGTGCCAACCATCAGCTGTACTAAAGGTTCGAAAGGATCACACAATGATGCTAGTCATTTAGATGTCACGTTAAAAGAAACAACAGAATGCCTTTTTACAGCAGCAAATCTTCCTAATGCTACTTGAGTCAAACATAAGATGCTTCAGAAGTTCACAGAGATGTATTCTAATATGAGTCTATGAAGATGTCAAACAACAATGCTATCTTCACATTTTCCTGTTAGGTTTATCTTTTAAAACAACTGCATATACTTTGCATATTTGGATTTAAAGAGGAAAATTGTGGGACTTTGGCTTATAATGGCAGTGTTTTACTGGCTATGGCGGCATATGTAATTATTTTCCTGATTTTCTAAATTTTCTAAATTTCTTATTTTTAAGTCTTGCTAGGATTAAGGTCTAAGCCTGTTCCTCTCCATTCAGATCCATAAGCTTCCAGGCCCCACAATAGAACTTTTCAGCATCACATGGTCAGCTAGCAGTTGAGCTGTACAACTGGATATTATCAATATATTGATGATACATGATACTATGCCATTGAGCAAGCTTATTCAATGGTTTCATGTAGCTGATAAATAGGAATAATGAAATCATAAAGACCCTGTAAGGAGGGATATTGGGCTTGATATTTATCCCTTATCAACACTAACTCGAACTGACTATGGAGAAGAAGAGCCACCACAACCCTCATTCCCTAGCTCCTGGAGCCATTACAGAAGGGTACCATGATTGCTGGTATTGAACCTCATACAGATCATGCAGAGCCATCATAGCTGCACCGTATCCATTCCAGATTCACCAGAGGTCATTCCTAAGTGCACTCATTGCCGTCTCACCACTATGCCCAGAACCAAAGCCAGATTGAAAATGCTTATTCCAGAAACCTCTGGCACCATACCCCAACCATGTTCTCCACAAGTGTTCTTAAAAGAGACAATGGACACTGGACAAGAATTATCCAACACAGTCCAGCAGTGGCTTTGTAACATTTCCTTCAAGGCAGTGAGATCCTACCCCTACCCAACAATATATGAATCAAAGAGAAATTATTGCATACATTATTTCTAATAGCAACTCAATGCACAGATCTGTGAGGTATCTGTGAGGTAAACTGTTTATAACAGTTTTAAAATGTACACTTGCAGCTATTTTCAATTTAAGGATTGCAACAAGGTTTCTTACAATCAACATAATTTGGATGTTCCCTTAGGATGTTTTTGTACAGTTTCTCTGCTTCGTGAAATTCACACATTGCTTCATATAATCTGGCTAAGTTGTATGATGTTGTCACGGAAATTGCATTGTAGTAATGTTCATCATGCTCCGCTTCTGCTTTAGCTCTATCCAGGGATGCCAAAAAATATTTCTAAATGCAAGTATAAGAAGGGAAAAAAAGTTTGTATTTATACATGTGTGCACATACATTATACATACACATATGCACATACGTGTTTACCCGCACAGCCAAGTTATAAATATATTGCATACAAACAGTAACAGTGGTTGGGAAGTTGAGATTCATACCTTTGCTTCTCCTAAGTTTCCAAGTCTGAAGTGGAGAGCACCCACATTATTTAAAATTTCTGGGGGAACATCAGCTTGTACTTTTTCCTGAAGTATTCGTGTTGCTGTGCCATAGGCTGAAAGAGCACCCTATACATTTAGAGACAGTGGAAGGTTTTAGTGTAATGTGTAATTGTTCAGCATGAAACCAGACTACTTTACCCACCTTTTATATACCTGTATATCTGTCTGCTCAAGAATTTGTGCTAGCTCAATCCAAGCTTCCACATCATCTGGATACTGTTCTGTCACCTTCTTTAAATGACCCTATTAAAAAAAGCAACATATTACTTTATATAATTGATTTAGAATTTCCCTGAAAAGTGCCACACAGTAAATAGTTTTCTGAGGCCGTTGTAACTTTGAACTGTTGTTAAATGAATAGACCTAAGTTAAGGACTGCATGCAGTGTCTAAAATTCAGCATTCTATAAATAATCACTTTTACCAGTAGCGTAGCATTTGCTCTTTCTAAGACAAACATTCCCTTTTTAAAAACAAGTTCCAAATACCTCTGAATTTAACCATGATAGGAAAATCCCTCCTAATATATACCAGGTCTATAGGCAATACTAATTAAGTATCAATTGTACATGCATTTCTCAAAAATAACTGTCACTGAGTCTGAGATTTCACCTTAAATTAAAAGAGCGATGAATTATAATTTTGCTCTTATCTCTTGAGGCTTACTGTACCTTTGCAATATCTCGTTTGTCTTGATCTTCTGAAGCAGCGTAGAGAGATCCAAGAATTTTCATGGTCTCATAATTGTTAGGGTAGGCTTTCAAAACTTTTTCAAAGCATTGTGATGCATTTTCTTTGTCTCCTCGGTAAATGTACATTTGACCCAGTCCAAAAAATGGCAGTACAAAAGATGAAGAGGCAAATTGTGTGGCTTGGTAATAATACTGGAAAGCTTGATCATAATCTTCCTAATGAAAGGAAGAACGTAAGGAAGAAAGGCATTAAAACTTGGAAAACTCTTAGGAAAATAAGATTGCAAAACAGAAAGAGAGGTATGTAAGGCATAATATACCTGAACGTGAAAAGACCTGGCCAGCTGGTAGCAACTCTCTGCCTGCATTGCTTCTACTTCTGTATTGTGAAAAGCATGAAGTGCCAAGTGTTGGACCTTACCATAATCCTGTATAAAGAAAATAAGATTATCATAACAATATTTTTATAGTATTGTATATTATAATATAGTATATTCTAGGGCAGGTGTGTCCAACTCACAGCCCAAGGGCCACATGGCCCTGGACAGCTAGTAAAGCCACTTCACAAGATATAATAAAAATATAAAAAATAAAGGCAGTTTGTTATTTATACAATTAATTATATATTTTATATGTGGTCTAAGACAATTCCTCTTCACTCAATGTGGCACACAGGCAAGCCAAAAGTTTGGACACCCATGGTCTGAGGTATGGACTGAAATTCAACTTCTTAGAAACTTTAGATTGACCATTTGTTACAAGTGCAATAATTCATAATTTCCTGAAGATATTGCTGCCTATACAATCCTTAACTCTTAAAGTATGACCATCATAACAGTTGAGTTTACACATGTCCCAATTTGAAGTCCGGGTTGATGTAATGCACAAATTCAGCCAATGTTTGAATGTTTGAGGATTCATGTGTATCTCTCCCTCTTTCCCACACACGCACGCACAAACATTAATGAACCTCCTGAAGCAAGTTTGCAAATTTTACATCACTGTGGAATATATACTTATAGCTTATATATTCCAGATGACTAAAGAAACTTGTTTTTATGACCTCCATCATTTGCATTAGCATTTCCTCATTTCCACAAGATATAAAGCAAAATGCAACTCCATTTCACAATTGGAATAATCAAAAATAAGAATGATTTCAGGCAATTCTGAATTAGCCTGACATTATGAAACAGCAGCATAACTCAAACACACCCGTTGTCTTACCTTTTTAAAGAAGAAGTGGTTTGCCAAGTGATTTAATACCATAGGGTTACTAGGATCAATTGTGTAAGCTCTAGAAAGTAACTGGACACCATTTTTGATGGAATCCGCCTGAAAGGAATATTGATAGTTTTTATTCATATTGAAATGCATGTTAACTTAATTATTGTCTTTAAAAATTCAAGGGCTATGTTTTTCAAAATTTGATTTCAGAATCCTGGTCACAACCTTGACTGGCCATGTGGGTGGGTGCCATTCCCAGCAGAAAAAGTAGCTCGTTTCATAAATGTACCATGAAGATGAATGAGGTTAGACTGATAATGGTATATCAATTAGAAGAATAACAGCTTTTTCTAAAAAATAAGAAAACTCTACCATATGAGAAATTCGCCTTCAGAGCCAAGAATAGCAGAACATTATTCAAATGGAAAAAGTTTTTATCTTTTCATGGCTGTGATAGTGGGCAGACGAGTGCATAAATCCAAAATTAAGTGCAGTGCAAATCATCTTCATAACATTAAACCATGTTGGCTTTTGTAATGACTTTTGCTGGGATTGTTTTAAAAATAAATTAGCATGAACTTGAGAGCCATTTTGTGCTTGAGCTGTGCTTATAGTAATAAAATTTTAGCAAGCCTGATCTGATTATTTTATAACCATCAAAACTTATAGGTTAATGGACTCGGCCAGCGGTGGGATTCAGCCAGTTCGCACCACTTTGGGAGAACCGGTTGTTAACTTTCTGAGCAGTTTGGCAAACTGGTTGTTGGAAGAAATCATTAGGGCAGAGAACCGGTTGTTAAATTACTTGAATCTCACCACTGGACTCGGCTTTGGACAGATTTTGTTTGGTGCTTTATTTCAGGCCTAAGTAACAAAATCTGCACGACTACATTCCTTCCTCGTGTGTTCCTGTGATGCAGATAGAACAGAAAAGCCAATCTAAGATAATCTGCCGCAATATCACAAGTCTGGAGATGTTTAAGCATATACTAAGCAACCTTATAAAACCAACAGACCTTTGCTGGTTCCATTACTTCTATTTTAAATGACTTATTCAGCAACTATTTCTTCAAAATCAAAGGAGCTATACGTTTATTAAAAAAAAGAAATAATCAGGTTTTTATTTCAAATTGTAAAATGTCCATAGCTGCCCTCCTGCCACCCAAAAAACTGATTGTAGCAACACAAGGTCTTGCGATATTACCATTCTAGGTTAAACTCACTCACCTCTTTGTTATTTAGTTCCAGAACAGCCAATCCAACTAAAGCCCCCACACATTTAGAATTGAGTTCCAGTGCCCTGCTGAATGCCAGGCGAGCTTTTTCTAACTTGTTGAGCTTTACAAAGCAATGGCCCATGCCCAGCCGAACCTCAGCTAGGAGACAAAAACAGTAAACACTTCCAATGTTTATTTATTTGAATTATATTTCTTTCAGGAACCATGGTGGCCTACGTAACATCCCCACCTCCATTTTTTCTCTGTAACAACTTTGTGAGGTTGGTTGGGATCAAAGAACAAAAGGCCCAAAGTCACTCATTGGGCTTTCATGGGTTGGAGGGAGGGTTTGAAACTGAGTCTTCCCAAAGTCAGCCCAACAACTTGGTCACTACATTATGTTGGCATCGTCATTTATATTCCCTTCTTAACCTAAAGATTGTCTTATTACTTTTATTTATTTATTTTATTTTATTAGTCATATTTCTATGCCGCCCACTCTCCGAGGACTCTGGGTGGCTTACACCAAAGACAGTATACTAAATAGCATATTGCCCCCTAACAATCTGGGTCCTCATTTTACCCACCTCGGAAGGATGGAAGGCTGAGTCAACCTTGAGCCGGTGAGATTTGATCCGCTGATCTGCTGAACTAGCAGTCAGCTGAAGTAGCTGCAGTACTGCACCCTAACCACTGCGCCACCTCGGCTCTTATGTATTAATGACTCCGAAGCACTTTGCACATAATAATAGGCATATTTACTCAAGAGTTCCTATGTTCATTTGCATAAATGGCATTTTTGCATGTGAGGTTCTGTCAGGTGAACTCCAGAGAATACAAAATTCTTAATTAGACGATCTACTCCAAAATCCTCATCTAAACTATAAAGATTAGGTGGTGCAGCACTTCTGGTTCAGTTTCCAACATATGGTTCAAAAAATAAACACATCTATAACAACCACAATTATTTCCTCTGGATAGTGCATGAATTTAAGGTGTTCTAGACATTTATAACCCCATACATTCAAAGGCATCTTTGGTAAATCAAATTTAAAACGCTGCATAGCCGTAACAAAAATCCACACCAGAGATGAAGTTCTTTAGCTTCACCTCTATAATTTTCATGAGTGTTGGCTAAAATTTGAACCACAGAACAGCTCCTGGTTCTGGTAATAATCTCCGTTATTCACCAAAAGCTGTTATTTAGGAAGGCTACAGATTCAGAAATATTTTCTAAAAAAGATAAAAATTCCATAGATGGCCAATATATAGTGGTTGCTGGGCAGGGAGCAGAGAAACACAGGGAGCAGAGAAACACAGATTCTATTCCTTTCTTAGTCAAGCTGAATGACCTTGGGCCAGTCACTATTTCAACCCAAAACCACTGTTACATAAAATACTGACTTTTCATTAAGAATAGCAGCTGGAAACATGCAAATACAAGTAGATAAATAGGCACCACTTTAGTGGGAAAGTAATAGCATTCCATGCACCTTGGTGTACAGTGATGAGAGCCATATGACCACCTTTGGACAATACTGGATCCCTTGGCTAGGAAATGGAGATGAGCACCATCCCCTAGAGCAGGGATTGGCAACCTTAAACACTCAAAGAGCCACTTGGACCCGTTTCCTACAGAAAAAAAACATACCAGGAGCCACAAAACCTGGGTGGGTGTGGCCAACTCGATGTCACTCACTCCCACCCAGTCACATGACCACCTAGCCATGCCTACCTAGCCACAAAATTATTCTCTATGTCTCTCTCACTTGATGCCACTTTGGACTGGAGTCCAAAAAAGAAATAAGAGGGGAGGGGCGAACCAGTGATGGGACAGGGAGCTGCGGCAGAGGGCCCAAAGAGCCGCTTGTGGCTCCAGGGCTGCGGGTTGCCGACCCCTGCTCTCGAGTCAGGCACAACTCAGCAGGGGAAACCGTAACCTTTTTACTGTGCATGCTTTGCTTCTTACCTGGGCAACCAGGATTAGTTCGCAGGGCCTTTTTATAATAGGCAAGGGCACCTCGGTAATCTTTCTTGTTGAACGAAATGCACGCTTTGCCTATTAAAAAGGAGCAATAAAAGATAATAAATACCTCTAAAGTTTATGATAGACATCAGGAGTTCACAATTTACTAGCAGCAAATATATTAATGAATAATACAGTTATTCCTTGAAAAGGTGATATAAAACAACGTTAAGTCACGAGTATGTCCCCATTTCCCTCTAATCCAATTGTCAACATCCTGCTTGTATTGGTTGTGCAGCAGATACATTTCAAAATAACTAATGCTGTCTTTTTATTAATAGCACAAGGCCCGATAAAAGCCATAACTGGTTGTTGAACTCTCCTCTACCTTTGTCATCTTAAACAAGTCTCTGAGCCTCAGTTTATTTCAACAAAAGGCTGAATCAGGTTTTGCAGCAGATCATGACCACATTCTACATGTGGTGCTGCCAAGCTTTAAGTACTGAAGAGGGAGGCAGTTGCTTCTTTTATTATTATAGGAAAAACCATCCATTTCAGCTAACAATCTAATCTAAGTAAGTCATTAAAAGCCGTGATACTGGCCCCTTTTTAATTTCTACTTTAAATTCAAAGTCCAAAATGAGCAATAAACTATCATTTCTAGCAAAAAAAGTAAGAGGACTTATTTTGGACTTCAGCAAGAGGCGTTATATACCAAAGTGAAACAGATTTCCCTTGTATATCCCACAGATCACAATCTCTTAAGACTGCTGGGCTCAACACTGTTAAACTGCATTTATTTCCGTGAAGACAAAATACAACTGACTCACCAAGAAGGGCTGGAATATTATTGGGAGACTGATTGAGTACAAAATGAAATTGTGCATCTGCTTGATCCATCTTATCCCCCTCCAGAAGGCAGAAACAGGCTCTTCCCAATAAGTGATTCTAGAAAAGCAGGAAATTATCTTTAATTTTTATTTCTAGGAGAAGTTAGTACAAACCATTCTAAGTGATAGAGTTTCAAAATCACACTTTGTTCCTACATTCATTATTTTGAAGTGCTGTCTAATTGCTTCAAAGGTTTCCTTGTCTTCCTCCTTTTACATTTTACATTCACTTCTTTCTATAGCAAACGATAGACAACCAGTGACCAACAGGCAGAAATCCTTTATATGGAAATTATGGAGCCTCTTCTCCTTTTTCAGCAGCATGCCAATTGCACCAGGAAAGCGTACTTTTTCAGCTAGTAGAGATTTTAAAACTTCTTGTTTGTATCTGCAACAAATTCTTGATCTAAAAAACCTTTCTGATGCTTTGTATTTTTACATTACTCATAACCTTTTTTGTTGCTGAAAAATATTTGAGGAACTCAGAGAACAAATGTTATCCATCTGCTCTATTACTATTTCTCCAATATAGTGTATGGATATATATTTCTGAATTATTTTTGTTCATTTCTTTGATTTATACCCTAGGTTTCCTCCACAAGCTAATGCTGGCGCTCTCCTTCAATATTTTGTTGACACAACCATATAACATTAATAGATTGAAAGTAATTGGCTCAAAATCACCCAAAGACTTCCACAGCTGAAGGTACAATTGAATTCTATCTATTGATCCTGACTAATGCACTATAGTCCAATGGAAGGACATTGAACTTTTTGGATAACAATGGCAGAAAAGATTGCCAAAACTAGGTGCCTTCATTTCAGCAAGAAGTGCTTGTCATTAAATAGAAGATTCTTATTTCTAGCCTCCTTCTTTCATTCCCAGCATGGAAATGGCCTTCCATCTCTATCTAAATCTTCATTAATTCTATTTACTAGCAACTGATACTTGGACACTAGCTAGATATGCTTAGGCTAGATATGCCTAAGATTCTACTTGAATTCTACCTGCATGCTAAATAAATGCTCTAACACTAAGCTGAAACCCTTCCCTTTTTGACTAGTGGCTAGCTTATGGTTAAGTGACAAAATTTGACTAGTGATGTAAATTAGGTAAACTAAACTATAAAAAGCTATGGTTATAGATTATGATTAAGGTACTTCTTTCGAACCACAGTCTGATCCAGTAAAGCTCCACTTTTGGACACAACAATAAACCAAACAATGTGACTTTGTTTGTTATTTCAATGCAATCATATCCTGCATTAAGAGTCTTTTTTTTTAAAAAAAAAAATCAAAACATATTAGAAAACCTCTCATCTTCAAGAGATTATTTCAGTGTGCCTTAACCTAAAACAAACATAATTAGTTGACTGATCTTACCTGATCATACATGATAATTTTATCAGCCATAGTGTACAACAGTGTAGCTTGCGTAATAAGCTCTTTCTTGTTATCTTTGTTCTTTTCTTTCCGAGCCTGCTGTACATAGTAGGCTGCTAAGGTATCTAAGCAAGTCATCTGATCTTTTTCATGGTCTCTATAATCCAGGTTTCCATCTATGCGAGCAGCCTCTAATAGTTTCACAAAGTCTTCCGTTTTGCCTTGTTTGTAATATTCCAGCTAAAAAGTAAATGAAAATACATTTAGCAATCTGCTATTAAAACTGCATTCATAAAATATGCATAGTACATAAAGTTAAGCAATTACATATTAAATTATGACAAGAAATTGGAGTTCTGGGCCATATCTGTAACATGTCATCCTTTTCATTGTTGATGGAAAATTTTGTGTGTGTGTGTGTGTGTATAAATGGTTTTATTGTGTCTTACAGGAGTTGGCAATCCATGGGCTGCACACAGACCCAGTTCCATTTTTGAGTGCAACAGCCTCCTCAAATTATGCCACCAATTTCAGCAGGAAAAGCACCAATTTTAGTGACACAATTGTTCATATTTAAGATGGAGGTAAAAGAAAAGATAGTGTATAGTGTATGCTGAGTGTATTGCTTAATATATCTAGCTTATTTCTTGAACTTCCCTTTCCACTGCAAAACAAACCACTCATCACTCTGGTGACATCATGTCACCAAACTCATATTTCTGTTTTAAAAAAAAAAAGTGCAGACCTTACTGCAAAAATGTTGCTACTAAAATAAATACAGATATTCCATTTAAATCTTCCACAAATGATTACCTTGATGAGGGAACAGTAATATATGTTTCTATATTACCTTAAGTCAAAGAAAATTATCAATAAATTTAAAAATAATCACTACTTTGGAATATGAATGAGCTTACAGTATAAATAAAATAGAGCAAACTGATATGCAACTGACCGCTAGGGCAATCCATATGTGCAGCTGAGTATGTTCCTGTTTCAAAATACTTATAACTTCATCCCCCTCCGGTAACTGATCGAAGTCAAGCTCAATGACCTAAAAATCAAATGACAACATTCAAAATTCAATATTAGTTATTAGGGCACATACAATAAGATCACAAAGCAAATACATTAAGCCCCCTCGACTAAAATTATTTAAAGGGGTATTTCTGGAGTTCTACAGATCAGAATCTCATTTTGTACTCAGGAGCACACAGAAAAATAAGACTTCCATGCATTCATCCTACATATTCAGGCTTGGGACCAGGTTATCTGAGGGACCGTCTCGGTCACATCTACCCGACCCATCAGAGTGGAGAGGCAGGGAATGTTGTGGATCCCATCTCCGAGGGAGATACATCTGGTGGGACCCAGAAGAAGGGCCTTCTCCGTGGTGGCTCCCTCTCTTTGGAACATCATTCCCCCAGAGATTAGAATGGCCCCTACTCTAATACTCTTCTGGAAGGCGCTGAAGACCTACGGGCCTGGGGAACCCAGAGTGGGATGAAGCCCATTAAATGGCTCGTGTGATCTGCTGTCACCAGGGTGGGGGGTGGGTGGGAGGTGATTTTGTTATATTGTACTATATTAATTTATTTGATTCTTTTTGTTAGTTTTTATTGTTTTAAATATGGTTTTATATTCTGCAAGCCGCCTTGAGTTGTCATGGACGAACAGGGGGCAATATAAATTCAATCAATCAATAAAAATAAATAAATAAGGACTCATTCACAAATTTGATTACTTTCCAATGCAAAAGAAATTTCTCGCAGCAGTGACCTCTGTGTACCCAAACAAAGAAAAGTTAACACCGATAAAAGCAGGCTCAAGATCCATATGGCTTAGTGCTTTATAAAAATATTTTTATGCCTTCATTTCCACCCCACCCCACCCCAAACTTATCAGCTGTTAAAGGAAGCAACAAGTTAAGGGATATCAAAACAAAGTACTGCTGGCAATAGATACACATGTGCATGTACTTTTGTTTGTTTGTTTTGCCTTTAAGTCAGTTTCTGGTAACTATATGGACCAATTTATGCAGTTTTCTAGACAATATATATATATATATATATTAATGGCTGAACATTGCTTCCATCTCTGGATTGAGGGAGAGGGACTGGCTTCAAGTGACGCCTAAAACATGAGAACTCCAGTCTCCCGACTCCCTAGTTCAGGACTTTTAACCACGAGACCAAACAGGCTCTGTGCATCCATAATATGTATGCAAGCAATGCATACAAAATATTAGCAGATTTACTTAGCATCAACTCTCCAGCAGCCCCACGAGGACCGCTCCAAGCTCCTCCAAGGGAAGCGGGTGGGATATCCAATTAACCTGCCTTTCCCCAAAGCGGCTTCAGACAAACACCGGGGCGCCCCGCACCAACTCACCTCGTCGGTATCCCGGAGGGGGATCTCAATCGAGCCCCGAGACATGATGGCGAGTGACAGCGCCGCCGCTCCAGCTACCGGGGAGGAAATCGCTACAGCCCCCTAAGACACCTCACGCCCGCCAGCCTCCCGCTCGAGCGGCCGTCTGACCAACAGCCCCACCGCCGTCGCCGTCCGCGCAGGCGCCGTCGAGCCTCAGTCTCGGAAGCATGCGCGGAAGGCGACGCGAAAGAGGCGACGCGCGGGCGGGGGGAGTGGTTGGGAGGGAGGAAGAGGGTGAAGAAGCGACGGGCAGGTCCCCCCCCCACTTCGATTTTCTGCTGCTGCGCCGGGCAGCAGTCGAGTAGCGGGGTTCTTAGTGGGGAAATGGCTCTTCTCTTTCTCAGCAGTAGCAACCTTTTAGAAAACGATTCGCATATTATGCAGTATGGAGTAATGCTCATTTCAAATAGATGGGGTTTATCTGTAAATATTTACACACACACACACTCCTTGTCAAAGAGAGGGAGAGAGATGGAGCGTTTCGCCTGAATATATCTATAAGAGAGGTCTTCAAACTTGGCCGCTTTAAGACTTGTGGACTTCAACTCCCAGAATTCTCCAGCCAGCATAGTGTAGCTGGAGAATTCTGGGAGTTGAAGTCCACAAGTCTTAAAGCGGCCAAGTTTGAAGACGACCTGATCTATAATTAGCTGTTTAAAAAGGAACAGTCAATATAGCCCAGACTCTACAATGCTAATTTAATACATCCAGGAAGCTTTGTGAATCACTAAAAGAAAAAAAAAATCTAAAAAATTACTAGAAATTAAACATTGCTAATCTCCCAACCTAGGTATTATTTCCCCTGCAGTACTGTGGTTTGTAATTTGCTGAATGAATAAATGAAAGGGACCATAAAATTATTTAAAAACAAAAACTGTGTTTTAGAACAACTTGCTAGCACTTAATGATGTTACTTAGTTAAGGATAATGAAACGTCTGTAAGAAAACAAGCAAGCTCAAGACAGCGCTCATTTCAACCCTGAGCTACAAATATTGGGGACAGTAGGACAGGGACGGTAGGCACATTGGCGCGCATATGCACGCCCCTTACAAACCTCTTAGGAATGGGGTGAGGTCAACAGTAGACAGTCTAAGGTTAAAGTTGTGGGGGTTTGGGGATACAACAACAGAGTCAGGTAGTCCATTCCAGGCATTGACCACTCTGTTGCTGAAGTTGTATTTTCTGCAATCGAGTTTGGAGTGGTTTACCTTAAATTTGTATCTATTGTGTGTTCGTGTATTATTGCAGTTGAAGCTGAAATAGTCATTGACAGGTAGGACGTTTTAGCAGATAATTTTGTCTACATAGGTCAGACCAAAGGCAGCGTAGTTCTAAGTTGTCTAAGCCCAACATTTCAAGCCTGGTGGCATAAGGTATTCTGTTGTGAGCAGAGGAGTGGAGTGCTCATGAAATACCTCTGAAGTCGCTCAATTGTATTAATGTCTGATATACAGTGTGGATTCCAGGCAGATGAGCTGTATTCGAAAATTGGTCTAGCAAAGGTTTTGTATGCCCTAGTTTGCAGTACAATATTACCGGAGAAGAAGCTCTGCCGACGGGAGAAAGCGTGTGTGATTGGCCGCCCGTTTGACAGCTGCTGTATAAATAGCAGCCGTGACAGAAATTGTTGCCTCATTCGTTCATTCTTACTGTTCTGTATTGCTGTTGTTATGGCCTGACGTCTTGCCTAATAAAGGTAATAGTTATTAGATACCGTCTCGCCTCTTCTCACCTCGCTCAATATAAAGCAATACTGTTACAGTGGGCTCTGGCGCTTAGATCGTTTGAGATGAGTACTCCAAGGTCCTTGACTGAGTGAGGGTTGTCTACGAGGTTGTATCTAGCCAGCTTGTATTTGGTGTTTGATCTTTTTTGCCAATGTGTAAGACAAAGCATTTGTTGGTTGAGATTTGGAGTTGAAGTCCAAGAGTTGAACTTGAAGAGGCTGATCTTTATGAATGCAGATTTTGTATCCATTCAGAAAGACTGGGCCAATCTATTCATAAACAAAGAGATTCCAAATAAACAGCATAATTAGGCAAGCCAAAAATGACAAGATTAGCTCAGACAAACAGGATTCACATTTCCCCTTTTCCCTGTAGAGCCAACCATAGCCACTACATGACCCCATAGGAATCTGGCAACAGCCATTAACATATTAAAGGACACATTTTAACACAGGAACAGGCATCTCAGTCACAAAGCCCAAAGAATGTATAAAAACCCACCAACTCTCAACCCCATTTTGTCAGCCACCCCAGAAACATGCTGCTGTCACTGAAGTTTCTGGCATCCAAATAAATCCAAATCCAAATTCTTTCCTGCAGCCAGCCTCCATTTTATTTCCAGCATCTTGCTCCCGGATTGGAACCAGACCGGATTTTTCTTCCAACACTCCATTCAATGAACTAATACATTTTCATTTTATATTCTATAAAATGAATAAAAATATTCTATAAAATATATTCTATATTCTTCTCAGCTATTGCTGGGTACATTGTAAGCCGCCCTGAGTCTTCGGAGAAGGGCGGCATATAAATCAAATTAAAAAAAAAAAAAAAACCATAATCCTCAGAAAATTTCCTCATGTTTTTATCCTTTTTTAAATCTTATTTTGAATTTTTCAACATTTGGTAGATAAAGTAAAAAATAACAATCTGGTGAGATAAATAAATTGAAGATTCACTCTAATAATGAAAGATGCTTGTTAACAGAATGTTATATCTAAATTGGAATTGGACATTATTTTGGACTTGTATATATCTATCATTTTCTGAGAAATTACAGTAAATCTGCTTATCATGGGAAACACTATATGTGCATATATAATTATACACATTGTACTTTATGTTAATATTTCCTTTTGGTAATTAGAATTAATTTGTCTCTTCAATTAGAATATAAAGGTTTCTGGGAAAACATACTCTTGTATTTGAAGCATTGTTATTTCAAACTATGTGGGAAACTTTCAAGAATATCTTTAAAGAAATAGACAAAATAAAATCTGAGAAAGAGAACTTATATTCAAGTGCTTATGGAAGAAATAATAAGCATTCTAGAGCAAACTGGAAGTTAAATAGGAATACCAAGTATCTTTCTTGGCATTTCATAATGTGGGGAATATTAAGCATTTAACATTCATTCTCCTTTCTCTCCTCTGTCCTTTTTAAACTCTGCCTAACTAGACTTAAACTGAAATATTTCACGTTTCATTTAAGATTTTTAACTTGAGGTTGGCTGGAATAATAAGGTATAAGTGCATGTCATGAGATGTGGCAAAATGATTGAAATAATGTTTAAAACTGTAAAAAAAACCCATGCAAATTGTGTCAGAAGGGGGCAGCAGTTATACTGTCAAAATAAAAACAGTTTATTTTTTAAGTATCTTGTGTCTGGCCATTTAAGCTTTAACCCCAAATAGATTAAATTATCTAGAAAAATAGAATTTAATCTAACAACCAATTAATGTAATTAACACTAAACCTAGAATCCTATTACGGTGCCAGCTGCATATACCGGTAAAAGGAAAGAGCTTTATTTATATAGATTTATAGGCAACCAAGTCAAAAATCACTATGATATAAAATTAAACTTAATTTAAAACTTGCAATATAAAACTACTTGCAGTGAATTGGGAAGAAAAGTAGACACAAATATCAATTATACATCACCCACAAGATCAAGATCAGAAATCATTTTCTCCTCTGACCTGTTTGAAAAGCCAGGTTTTTATAGCTTTTCTGAAAGATGGGGCCAGACAAGCCTCTGGAGGGATGATGTTCCAGAGGGCACAAAATCAACAAAGAAGTCCTGGCTCCAGGATTACATTCAAAGACATGGTTAATCATTGGAGTGCACCTGCTCTCTGGAACCATAGTGCTTGAGATTAAATTGGCCTAATTCTTTCTGCTCACCTTTTAGGAGACTGAAGATCTGTTGTTTTCCCAAGCATGGAGGTTGAAACAGTAATTGAACCCAATTATCAATTGTGTTGCAGTTGGTTGTGGAATGTATTTTTATATTGTAAAGGGTTTTTTTTAAAAAAAATCTTTGTCAACTGCCCAGAGTCACATTTGTAAGAGGTGTGGCCACATAAAATCAGTACAAATAAACTTGGGGAAAAAACCACAGTATTTTTTTTCTCCAAAGTATTTTTTTTTTGTAGACAGTACAGTATTTTTTTCTCTAAAGCACCTGAAGGCAAGACAAGAAACAGTGGATGGAAACTAATCAGGGAGAGAATCAACCTAGAACAGTGATGGTTAACCTTTTTGGTACTGAGTGCCCAAAGCATGTATGCCCCAGTTCCCAAAATGCAATGCGAGCACACCTCTGCGCATGTGCCCTGACCCCCATTTTGGCTTCCAGGTTGGTGCAGCAGGCTTTTCAGGCCCCAAACGGGGCATGGGGGGGCCTCACAATCTCTACAGTTTCTCCCCCCAGCACGCCCAGGCCTTCTCCTCCATTTCTGCCACGGAGAGGCATCTGCGGAGGGTGGAACCTCCTGCATGGGCAGCAGGAATGCAGGAGAAAGCTAGGGCGCGCTGGGGTGGGGAAACTGCCAAGATTGGTGAAGGCCCCGCCCCTGCGCATGCATGACAGAGACCCAAAGACCAGCTGGCTGGCAGGTGGTGTGCGCATGCACAATGGAGCTGAACTGGGATGACAGCTGGCGTGCCTGCAGAGAGGGCTCTGTGTGCCACCTGTGGTACGTATGCCATAGGTTTGCCATCACGGACCTAGAACTAAGGAGAAATTTCCTGACAAAACAATTTATCAGTGGAGTGACATGTTTGCAGAAGTTGTGGATGCTCCAACACTGGAGATTTTTAAGAAGAGATTGGACAACCATTTGTCTGAAATAGTATAAGGTCTGTTGCTTGAGCAGGGGGTTGGACTAGAAGACCTCCAAGGTCCCTTCCAACTAGGTTATTCTGTATTTTTTTGTATAACATGTTTTTTTACAGGTCACTTGCTTGCATTTCTATTACAGATACTGACCAACTAATGTCCATTCATCAAGATCTGGAAAAAAAGTCCTACAGAGATTAGAAATTTTTTTGTGGAAAGTTCACAGCATTTGACAAAATTATCTTGGCATGCTTGTTTTATATAAGTAATG